AAAATAAAATAGAATTATTCCTGACATTTAAAGTTGACTTATACCTATTGGCTTTGATTAAACAAGCATTTTGTTATTGTATAATTGAGATGCATTTGTATACTGGGTAATAAGTCTATTTGTAGTCATCAACACTGTTTCCAAAACTCATCAGAGCTGTAAAGATTCTTGTCAATATGGTTACATCTCACAAAACCAGTTAAAAGAGTCTAAAATTTGTCTTAAGAGTAGAAACAAAATATATATATTTCTATATAGCTGCAATCTAAATATTGCTAACCTCATGACATATTAAGATTTATATTTGTGCTTCCCAAGTGTACAGGCATTCAAATATACAAAACTGAAAAAAAAATTATCATGTTGATGATTTATGGTGATAAATTTTTTTAGGCTCAAGCATCTGGCTTTCCTTTACTTGTGTTTCAGCTATTTGTGATGAAATGTGCATGTCAATCCAGCATGATATAGCCAGCCAGATGATAGGAATACTTTTTCATGTTTATGTTTATGTGATTGTTATGTAATTAAACAGTTAAAGATACCCAGACACTGTGCAATCCAGGTAATGTCACTGGAGAAATTAAAAGGTTAGAGGTTAATAACCTATAAAGTACATCTATAAACAAGTTCATTCTAGTTAAATGTCACTTTGATAACAGAATGGATAAAGATAAATTAGGTAAACATTTCCTTAATGTCGTTTAATATTTTGGAATTAGAGAATGATAACTGACTAAAAAGTTATTCTCTACTAAGATGAACATCTAAATGTGTTTCAAAGATAAGAAAACCTAACAGTTCTAATATAGTAATGTTATCATGATTATTATGCTAAAACATATTGCCCTTGATCTTAAATTTTCTCTGTAAAACTTTATAACTGTTATCTATTAACATTCTAGAGGGATTCAACTTCTAAGACAACCATAATTGATAAAATCTAATACTCAGGCAGGAGTCAATCTCTGTGATTTACCTTGCCTACAAATTCCACATGGCTCACTCCATGTGTCTTAATGTTATGGTTTGGGTCTAGATGTCCCCCCCCAAAGCCTCATGCGATCATAGGTGGCTCTTTTAGAGGTGGCTGAATCTAGAGTGTATGATGTTGCACTACCCTAACCCCAGTAGTGTGAATAAGATAAAAGGGGCAGAAAGATGCTAAGGTTCCCTTGCTGCTTTGCTACCTTCTGGCTACCATAAACAGTTTCTCCTCTGCCAAGCCTCCCTGCCTTGGACCCATATGATTATGGACTGAAACCTCCATGAACTGTGAGCCAAATAAACTTTTCCCCCAGATACCTGACACCCAAAGTTAAAGGGGGAAAGTTTATTTGACTTACAGTTCACAGAGGTTTCAGTCCATGATTGGCTGGCTCCAAGTAGGGGGCACATGGCAGAAGGGTAACATTTCATGGTGCCAGAAGACAGCAAAGGCAACAAGGGAACTAACAAATGATTTTAATAGCATCTTTCTGCCCTCTTATCTAGACTCCTTAGGGCGGATAGCTCTCACACCCTTAATTCCAGTGCCCTTGAGCCTAGCTTTGCACCATAAATCAATCCCAAAGTCATTCACTAGATCCAGCTACCTCAGAAAAAGCTCCACCTCTGACTGCATGAGGCTTTGAGGGGATATCTACACACAAGCCATAACACCCTGTGTCAATAATAATATTTCTCAATTAAATATTACTCATATTACAATACTTAGACTAAGGGCTAAAGCCTAGCTCCTCAACAATTTTACATGCAATTGGGTGGGTGACTCTGCTCTTGAACAAATTACCTCAGCACTTGAATATCTCAGGCAAAAGCGGTTTGGGGACATTATAGCAGAGATGCCACTGGCAGCTACTGTAGCCACAGCACCCATTGCCCTAACTCATTCCGTCCAAACTACCCAAACCACATGTGGTTATTTTCAAAATGTTACTTCTGAGCTCTTAACTCAAACCTATATTGATAAAGAAACTTTACAAAGACTTGATGCCCTTGAAGCACCTGTCAGATGGCTCAGCAAACATTAGCAAGCTCTTCAGACACGTCAGTAGGCCCTGCTGTGATGCTGGTTACCATTCCACTGTGTCGTCACTCCAATTCCATTTAATCATTCTGAAACCTGGGACAAACTCCAGTGTATGCTCCTTGGTGCTTTTTATGCTGATCTCAATGGAGAGATTTCCACTGTCCAGTGCTGACTACAGATCCAGTTATACAAATTTCAACTAGAAGCCAGTAATATTACTTTAGATCATCTCAATGCTATTGCCTAGTGGTGAATCCCAAAAGCTGGTTCTCTGGTTTCAACCTTCACATTTGGGTTCCTATAGTGATTAAAATAATTTTCTCTTTACTCTTTCTTGCAGTTCTAAGAGCCACATGCTAAAGCCATGATGATGTTTCTTCACCAAGCCCAATATCCCTCCTACCTTCACCCTGGCCTTCTTTCCCAAACCCATGTATGTCAAGAGCCCTTCTAGATAATTTTGGAGGAAAAATCATTTCATAATTAAATTGTGGCTACAGCTGTCTGAGGTCTAGTGTCTTCTTGTCAGGCGGGCCTGCTATGACATGCAGAGACATAACTCCATGTGCCTCTGGTCACAGCTGAGGCCTCAATGGTCCCATGATGCCATGATGCTCAAGGGCAAGATTACATCAGCTGAAGACATCCTGGTTTCTTGAGAACTGAGTAGTAATAATAAAGAGAAAGGTTTGGGGGGCGCACAAATTCCTTATTAGCTGCTATCTCTTCCCACCTACTAGTGCAAGAATGCTTTGCTCATCTCACTGTCCTCATCAACCTAAGATCCTCATCAACATAAGATTACCACCGCCCTATGAGTCACCTGATACTCCCTCTGATTATTGTGTGCAACCAATACATAGTGGCTATCTCAGAGTTTGTCTCTGTCCACTCTGACATTGACCTCCCAGCCTCCCATGTGCTTTGAGAGTGTCTTTTTGTATTTCTTTAGCTCTCACCGCAGCCCTTTTTAGGCAGATGGGAGGACTGATTGACCTCTAATATGTGTATAAAACAAAAAAGGGGGATATGTGAGGAACTGGGCACAGGTACGTATGAGATAGATATGCAGAGGTAAGGGACTTTTGGAGCCACACACCTAAAACCTCCTGGAATGCATGGCTAGAGACTGAAAGACAGCCTATGTGGCCACAAGTCCAAATAGGATCAAAACACACTGCCTTAAAGAATGAGTGCTCAGGCCCTCCTTCCCCCCCCCCATACTCTGATTTATTACTACATTGGCCCTAAGGTCAGTCATGTAACCGACCACCCTGACCGTCCCCTGACCTTGCTGTCCTTCCCCGATTGCCTATAGGAATTCCTGCACAGAGAGACATCATCTTTCTTTTGTCCTTAAGCCTTGCTTCCTGGTTCTAGCAATAAAATAAACCCCTTTTTATTAGTAGCCACTGATTGCAAACCTTCAGTTCAGAGCTGTCCTTAGGAGAGTCTCTCATGCTGAGGGGTCTTGGTTAAGGGCTGCCCCTCTGGGCCTTCTTGGAGTTCGCATTGGACACTGACTCAGTAATCTTTCATCCTTTGTGCCCAGCCACAGTCGTGAACTCCAACAGATAACTACCCTGGAACCTGGTCCACAACAAACTTTTTGTAAATATTTGTTGGGAGAATATAAATTTTACTACTACTACTTGCCAATACTTACCTTTTTAAAAGAATGAGAATTCAGTTAATATGGCATAATTACTAAATCTTCACCAATTAAGATCTAGAGGACAGGAAGGAGTTATGGAAAGACAGGTTGAAATCTGTATCTCTCTCTCACACTCACACACACACACACACACACACACACACACACACACACCATGAGGTACCAATTTCCCTTAAGAGAGAAGGAACTAAGCCCTTTAGCTTCCAGAAGCATTAGTATGTATTTTAACTTCTAATCTATATAATCCTAGATCTTTTGACCCTAGGAATCATTTACTCAAAATAAGTCAGAGCTTCTGCTCAGATCTTGATGATTCAGTTCAGCAGCTATACCAACCCTTTCCCTACCCAAGAACTGTTCTCTCCTGGATAAATTTTGCTGGGCACTATCTTTCTCCTCATCCTTCAGTCACATATCCTTACTTTGCTTCCGTTCCTTTGTAATCTGGGCACAATTAAAGACATCTCTTAAGGTATCAGTAAGGCCAAATGAGATGCTAAATGACTGGTCATGGTAGGCACTTTAGCAATCTGTTCTTCCCTTCCTCTATGAGTTTTTGTTGGGGTTCCACACTCTTCAAATCCTGATATTGCTTGGTCTCTGCCCTGTTTTTTCTTCCCAGACTAGAAAGGCAAAGTTTTCCGGAACTGAGGATTTCTCATCGAGAACAGTTGTGCTCCCAGTTAACTCTGATTCACAATTCAAGTCCCAGTGAACCTGGGTTGATAAATCGGTGATGAGCTCAGTCCCTTTTGAGGGAGGCCTTAAGAGCCAGGCCCTGACTTACATCAGTGGGACCTCATATTCTCTTCCCACCTGTGAAGGCCGAGTCTGGGCTCTGCCTATCTCCCTGCTCATGCCCTCCTTAAACTGATCAGCTTCTCGGGGCTGAGTTTCCTTCAGGAAGTGCCAACCCTTAAGACTCTCCTAAGATCCCAGAATCAACCTGGCCAAGCTCTGCGAGAGAAAAGTGAAACAAGAGAAGGCATCGGGCGTGGGATGTGCAGGTAACGGCAGACAGCGCGCCTTGCAGGAAGGAACAGCCCTGGCTGGCCCACAGCTCAACAGACCGAGTGGCCAAGCTTGCCTCCCACTCGGCAGCACCGGTAGCACCGCCTTCGCGTGAGCGCGGGCCGCCAAATGCCTAGATGCTGTGGAGAGGAGCGCGGGCCCGGGGAAGTGGAGGCGGCGCCGCTCCGCGGATGCCTCCCAGCTCCCCCAGAGTCCAGCCCGGCCCGGGCCCCGCAGGTGCTCCGGGGCCAGCTCCGCGCTCCTCCCGCTGCGCAGCTAAACGCTCTCCGTTTGTGCTGCGCTCCTGGGTCCTGGGAACCTGAGCAGAACCCTGCCCACCGCGCCTGCTGGACAAAACGCTACCTGTGAAAGTAATGTGCGCAGAATAACCCCAGAAGCACAGTCTCGGGCGGTCCGACTAGGAAGCGGGGCTGCTGGAAGAGGATCCCTACCGGGACGGCGAAGGAAGGCAGCTCCTGCAGGAACCAGGCGGCGCGGGCGGGGAGGCACTGAGCCCCGGGCGCCCCTGTCTGGCTGAACTTCCCGTAGGACGAGGGCTGCGCGAAGTACAGAATCATTAGCCCCAAGATGGCCAAAGTGGCGCTGCCCGCCAGTACTGGGCTCTCCTGGCACCGAACTAGCATCGCGTCTGTTCTCGGTGAGCGGGCGGGCGACGCGCTCGGCGCTGGGGAGAGCGCAGCCCTCGCTCGGCCCCTTTATGGAGCCCGAGACGCCACCCGGCGTCCGCCCCGTTCGGCCCGGCTCCCGCCCCTCCCCTCGTGCCTCCCACCTGGGCGCGTCCGACCCCGGCTCGACGCGCAGCTATGCCTCCTTGGCGCCCAGCCAGGACGCGGGGGACAGAGACTTTCGTGGTGCCCGGTGTCCCAGGGTCCCTTTCCCCTCCCGCGCGCCTCTCCTCGCCACCGCTTTCCGCTCCGAGTCCCCCAAGGCTGCCCTTCGATGACTCGTTCCTTACCAATCATCCTGCGATGCTGTAACTTCTGGGACGAAGTAATCTGCACGACAAAGAGCCTGGGGTCGGTTGGCCAGGTAGTGCTGCCTCCCTACACCGTTACTGCCGTCGCCGCGCAGCCGGCAATCCCCAAACTGCAGGCCAGGACCTCCCCAACTGCTCCGGTTCCCAAACCCCCTTCATTTTCCTCAGCCTCCACCAAACCCTCGAGGCTTCCTTCCGCCCTCGAAAGTGCGCCTTTCGCTCTCTCTGGGTACCCCGCTCTTTCCCACTCTCCGATCCGCTCCCACCCCTTGCCCACAGGTGCAGCCCCTCTCAGCCTTACTTGCTCCGCGGTTTCTCTAGGGGCCCCTAGGTGTGTCCAGGGGCCACGCTCTCGGTCAGAGGTGGGTTCGCAGGGCACAGCTGCGGACGCACGCACGGATCGCACCCGGCAGTCGAGGTCCTGCCAAGCCGTCCTCGCCTCTCCAACCGCGGAGTGCCTCGGCGCTGCCCCAGACTCCCTGAAGTCCGGGGCTTCCCCCGCAGGACAGGCCCTCAGCTCTGGAGCCGGGGAGCAGGGCTCTGTCAGAGAAACCACTCCTCTCTAAAGGCCGGACAGGACAGGCAGCCTCCCTGAGCCGGACTAGTTTTCTTGCTTCCATTTCCCGCCCTTTGCTCACCCTCTACTGTTCCCGTCTTCTTTCTCTTCACTTCTGTGATTCAGCATCCACCCTTTCTCGGCTGCCTTCTCCTGTATATTGCGCGCCCCTTTTTCTCCTCTCTTCTTCCTTGACCTGGCTTTCTCCTTCCGGATTGACCTCCTCTCCCCACCTGCTGTTTACATCTCTCTTCAATCTTGCCTCACTCTCTTGATTACTTCATCCTTATTTTCTCCTCTGGTCCCTACTTAGGGTGTCACCCCAGGCTTTCCCCTTTTCCTCTCCCCTTTCCCCCTTGGTTCCAATTCACCACATCACATGGACATCTCAGTATTTCCCCATCCACTCTGGCCAGCCCTGCCAGCCATTCTGATGAAAGGCACATCTGTTCCACTTTGGGGCTGTTTCCCGACTACTGGAACAGGTCGCATATAGTGATGTCTTAGTGTTTGCTGGCCAAGAGACATTTACAATCTCCCTCTTGCGCTGTTAAACAGTAACCATGCTTCAGTTTTGCATTGAGCATTGTGCTGGGTAATCTTAATTGTCAGCTTAACAGGGTTAAGACACTCCTGGAGAGGAGGCTGGGTTGTGAAGGTGCTAACTTCATCCATGGTTTAACCCATTAATGAGTTCATAACTGAATGGGCTCTTAGGAGGTGGGGCCCAGTTGGAGGAAGAGGGTCATGGGGGCTGACCTTGGGGACTACATCTGGTACCTGGCCCCTCCTCTCCAGCATTTTCCCTGCTCTCTGCTTCGTGGAGGCCATGAGTTGAGCAACTTTTCTCCACCAGATCTCTCCACCACAAAGTTATCTACCTGGGAGTCAGCCAACCTTGAAATTGTGAGCCAACGTGAACCTCTCCTTTTTTTTTATTAATAATACTAGGGATTGAACCCAGGGTCTTTGCCCTGAGCTACATCCCCAGACCTTTCTTTCTTTTGTTCATTCTTTCTTTCAACAAGGTTTTGCTAAGTTGTCAAGCCTAGGTTCCTCAAACTTGTGATTCTCTTGCTTCAGCCTCTCAGAATGCTGGGATTATGGGCATGCACTACCACCCAACTATAAATCTCTCCTCTTTTAACTTATGGATGTAGGTATTTTCTCCCCACAGTGGGAAAGCTGATATAATCACCAATAGGAATCACCCAGATTGGTTGAAGCATTTTGTATAGAATACCAGGTATCAGTTATCACAGCGACTTCCAGCTGATTTTGCGCTGGCTTTACTGCACAGGTGCAGCCTTAGTTCCTCAATTACTACTTGCTTGTTGAAGATGCAGAAATCTAGATCATCAGCAAAGACTTGAGCTTCAGATTTTCATTTTCTCCCTGCTAGAAAACTCCATTTGGATGACCTTTAGAGACATCAAATTCAACCCTCCCTAGCCAAACCCATTTATCTTCTCCCTCCACCCCACATATACCCAAACCCTCCCTCTGCATCGTGGTTGTCACTTCTTCTCTCAATATCATCGGCTCCCTGGGAGGCTGACTTGTTGAGTCAGGGAACTATAAATTTCATGATGTTATGCAGCATTAGAGAGCAAACGTGTTGCAGTTCATGACCGCGGCATGGCTTGGAGGTAGAAGGGACCTTTCAGAGGCAGCTAAGGGAGGAGGAGGAAGCTTTTGTAGAACTTCCTTTGAGTGGGTCAAGTAGCAGCTCTGCAAAGATGGCAAGATAGTAAGGTGTCCGGTTTTTACAGGACTTAGTGACTGTTGCAATTTTCGCCCCACACGTTCCCAGTCCTCCATCCCCAGGCTGTCCTCCAGAGGAAACCATGGACATTGTTCTCGAATAGCTACCAATTTAATAAATTGAGGTTCAGAAACTTTCCATCCATATGTCTTTAAGAGACACTGTACCAGGGAACACAGAAAGAAAAAAAAGAGAGACACTGTAAATGCTGCTTAAATTGCTTTTCCTCTTTGGATAAAGTTTGATCCCTATCATATGAAAGAAAGTAAGAGAAAAAAAGAAACAAACAAATGAACTGTCCCCACTCACTTAGCAATTCAACTGAACAACTAAGATACCTATGGGCTGATTAACCAAAACTGTGAGCTTGCTGAAGATGTTCTGGGCTATTCCAAGGCTGCCTCTACTGCCTTTCCAGGCTCTGGAAGATCGGTCCTCTGCATTGAGTTGCACCAAGTTATTCCTCACACAGGGCACCACTTGTTGCAGTTCATAATTGTGGTACAGCACAAAGGATCAAAGATTACTCAGAGTCAATGTTCAATTCAAACTCCAAGAAGGCCCAGAAGGACTGCCCTTAACTGAGACCACTCATCATAAGAGTCTCAGAAAGACAGCCCCAAACTGAAGCTTCTGTGCCTTTTATTGATAAAACCAGAAAGCAAGGATAAAGAACAAAGGATGGACATTTGGGTAGAAATTCGGGGAAGGTCAGGATGGTCTGTTACATGACTGACCTTAGGGCCAGTGTAAGTAATAAATCAGAATACGGGGAGAAGGAGGGTCAGAACATTCATTCTTTAAGGCAGTGTGCTTGATCCTCCTTGGACTTGTGGCCCTGTAGGCTATCTTTTAATCTCTAACCATGTATTCCAGGAGGTTTTGGGTGTGTGGCTCCAAAAGTCCCTTACTTCTGCATATCCACCTCATACATACCTTTGACCAATGTTCCCACACAAGCAGTGTGGTATTACAAACCCAGCTCAGTGGAATATATTTTAAATGAAATTCCTTCTGTTTCAAGTATCTCCTATCTTTTTCCCTACTTTTACCCAACTTTGGACATTATCTTTTTTTCCACTGCTACAATAATTTTGCCTGAATAACAAACCACCCTAAAAAGTGAGTAGCTTAAAACCAATCATCTTCAGCTTGAAAATCTGTGGGTTGGCCAGAAATCAATTGAGCTAGACTCGTGTCTTAGTCACTTTCCCGGACACTGAGACACAATACCCAATACTCACAACTTAAAGGAGGAGCAAGCGACTTGGGCTCAAAATTTGAAGGGTTTCAGTCCCTAGATTCGAGATTTGAGGGGTTTCAGCTGGCTCCAAGGCAGAAATGGAATGGTAGAGAAAAGCTGCTCGTGTAATGGTGGCCAGGAAGCAGAGACAGAAGGGTGGAGCTGGAGAGAGAGATGCACCGTTCCAGGTCTCACCCCCAGTGACCTGCCTCTAATCAGGACCTGTCTCCTCACAGCAAGTCAGTTATAGTCCTCCTGTATTCCAATTTCAATACACATGAAAATTTGAGGGGACATTTTCGATCAAACCATAATAGCTGGGCTTAGCTGATCTTGACTATACTCATTCATTCTTCTGGGAAGTACCTTATAGCCTTCCTCCAGGCAGGGCTGGCATTAAGGGCCTAAGCTGTGGCCCTCATCCTGTGATGAGTGAGCTACCCCTGCCATTCTAAATACTGTCAATAACAAAAATACAAGAATAGAAGGAACTCATAAGCCTCTTGATGCTCAGGCCAAGAAATGGCATGCTCTTATTTCCTATTTATTCTACTGGCCAAATCAAGGCACATGGTGGATTTGATTCCAGATTCAGAGTGGGAGAGTATTACAAAGTGACCTGACAAAGGACAAAGATCTAGGGAAAGAATTGGAACAAATAATGCAACTGTTTTATTACATAAAGAATCCCCAGATTATAGATATACACCTCAATTGAGTTGCACAAAGTGAACATATTCTCATACCTGGACCTAGGTTGAGAGATTCCTACCATGCCAGGAGCTCCCCTCTTGCTTCCTTACATCCCCTTTTCCTGAATAACAACCACTCTGTCTTCTAACGCCATAAATTAGTTTTGCCTGCTTCTGAACTTCATTTAAATGGGATCATACAGTATTTACTCTTTGTGTGTGTTTTAATGGTACTTGAAATTTGTTTTACCCAGGTATAGTAAGAAACACAGACACTAAAATGCCTTTCATGAAAGGGAAAGATAATATTCACAGATCCCTGGAAGCCAGAAACACAGCATGCCACCCAGCACCACAGGGGTCTGTGAGGAAGCCACGGGACTGGGGGAAAGTGGGCAAGATAGAAATAGCAGGTTTAG